ATCCATAAGGCTTTCAGTGTGATTTAAAGTTCTCAAGTGAGAGGAGTGCAGATTCTGCTTGGAAAATTTCTGCGTGAACTGAACACTTCTTTTTTTTTTTCTTCAAAGAACCTCATTCCCCGCCTAGTTTCAGTTCCTGATCTACAGGTTTTCCCATCCCGAGTCCAAGGCGACATTAATCACCGAAGCCTGGATGCTGTGCTCTGTTGAATCACATCCATTTCAGCTAAGTGACCCTCGGCAACAAGAAGACCCGCTTGGTGTATTTGTGTGTTTACTCTGAGCTGACCCGTGGCCGGATGAACCACTCGGACTCGAAAGGTCCAGCAGGAGCGTCCCTCCTCGGTCAGAGCAACAGGACGGGGAAAGCTTGTTTGTCTTTTTTTTTTTTTTTCGGCGACCAAGGAGAGCCAGCCCACTTTCACCCTCATTAATCATGGCGCCTTTGCTTACACCACTTAGGAGTGCTTGTGCGGCCAGCAGGAAGCTTAGTGCGCACACAATACGACGAGGTGCAGCAGCAGCGTTGGACTCCAGACAGAGGGAACATATATAATATTAATAGTAGATTTTGAACTCTGTGTTCAATATTCTGTGATCATCTAAAATGCTTGGACACTTTTTTTTTTTGCTCTTGAGAGACAGAAAGAAAAAAAGAGAAAACAGGGAAGCCGACTGGAGCAAAGCCGTGGATAGAGACAGACTTTTTTTTATCAAACAGAATGTGCAGACAGGTGTATATATACGTCTTACTCACGGACGCTTTGGACAAACAGCTGTCAGGGATGAGTCATCATCACAGACTCAGCTGTAGAAACTTCAGCTTTTGATATTTTAATCTTGGTTTAGAGAAAAGTTGGTGATGACTTTTTCTTTTTTTTAAAAAATTGAAGTACTTAAGCAATGCAGGTTTTCTTAATAAAGTCAGTCTTCGTGTTTACTCTTTGTCTACTTGTTCATAAGGTGGAATTTAGAAGATTTGTGGAGGTTTTAGTTTTTAAAAATTTTAACTCCTCCCTTTGGAAAAACAAAAAGTTTATTATAATTAAAATATAGTAAATGTAGGTTAGAGTACAGTCATGGTAAGAATCTAGACAGGTTCAAATTCCTTCACATTTCCTTCCCCACAATTCTGTTTCTTAACTGGATGGGAGGTTTTTTTTTTAAATTAATTGTCAGATTTTAGGATTCTTCATATTACATATCCCTAAGAGTTTCATTCACATCGTAAAATTTTACAACCTGAAATGAAATGTAATGGTAACCTACAACTTTAAAGGTTTTTTCATGCCAAGACTAAACCATTATACTATAATTCACCACAAAAGCTTTGGAGTTTAGCCGCACAGAGAAGCTGTTTTCACCTGTTTCGCTCCTGATCCGTTCAATCTGAGGTCAGATTTCTTTAACTAGCATGAATTCATAACCTCAGTCGAGCACTGCTGTGGATATCTGCAGCTTAATAAGCCTCACTTGTTCATATAAAATGGATAAACGGGTGATTTCTGGAGCCACGAGAGCGACATCAGAGCCACGATCGAAGTGCTTGAAAGACAAACATATGCTCAAACCTCCAAACATGATGAAGAATTATAAATCTTTTATTGTGCATGGATCCTTTGTAGATATCATGGCTATACAGATACACTTTAGATACATATCTATGATTATACATTTTCCCATAACGAACATTGTAAAGTGATATGTCTGGTAGTATGTATAGTATAACAAATTTTCATTTTGGAATGTACGGTGTATGAGGTAACTGCAAACATTAAAATTACATAAAAATGGTCTCTATTTTGTGCATATTTTTACTCATTTTTGTAGCATTTTGTTAATCTCCCCAGCCAAAGGTAGTAAGCCCAGGGTGAAGAGGTGTTAAAATGGCACACGTTGCAATCGCTATCAAAAATAGGAATTTGACTTCATTAAATGACAAAGAGAAGACATTTGCAGAATGTCTAAAGGACCAATTCATGTAATTATCCAGGACGTTTCGCAAGGTACCTGTATTTCATTTTTACAGTTTGCAACAGCAGTTATCTGCCCAAAAAACCAAACGACACTAGACCCCTACAGCCAGATCACTACTGACAGCTCAGTGTTCGCAATCTGTTACAAATACTTAACACACAGAGAAAAGGCAAATTTAGATTCACAGGAAGTACATGATAACACGTTTTGTATCCGCCGTTTGCGTTCCATGATTCATGACTACTCAGGATTTATTATCTTCTGTGGAGAGTATTAACTTATATTACTTCAATATTATAAAAAAATATACTTCACACATGTATGACCTGACAAAAGAAACCAAAATAAATCTTAATACATAGAACTACTTTTCCATTTCTCTCACGGTTTACGTATGCTTTACTAACATCAAATGAATGCTGCAAAAAAGTTAAAGGAAATAAAACACGTTTTAGTGTTTTCTAACACTAAAAGAAAAACATCGAAACTTAAGAGAAATTAAGAAAAAAATTCTCCCGAGATTTTTTTCCTCTCCAATTAAGGCCTCTGAAACA